TCTCGGCTATTAATACAGAGGTTATGATGTTCACCCTTTCATTGAGACTTAGCGTATGTAATGCATTTCATTTTCATGTAATGCTCTTTCACATGTATGATACATGAAGGCAAACCCCTCAGCCAAAGCTCCCGTGTGGGTTCCACACCTTCACCCACACCATGACAGTGACCAACAAAGGCCATCATATTCAGAGAGCAGGACTGTCCTCTGAGCCCAGAACCATCCACAGCCACAATCCTCAGAGATGCTTCATGTAACACCATGTGGCTTTCCCTGCTCCGCCGATATATGGCTTACAACAGCAGCCTGCTCCACATCACCGTCACACTGCTGAGCACCAACCACACAAGACACATGGGCCTCGTGCAGTACCCTCCAAAGCAGTGCTGGGCCAGGACCAGTGATAGCCAATGCCCTGTTTCACACAGGGATGTTACACTGACATCAAGGGCTCATGGCCCAGCAAAGGCAGCAAAAACCTCTCAGGGGGTGTCTACTGGGAGAGGAGGCAACAGAGCTCCTCCCCAAATTTGGACAAGGATTCAGGGTCTGTAATGGGCTGCAGTGTCTCTTCCTGCTCCAACCCATTTTCCTGACTCTGGTGTGAAAGCAAATGATGCCCATGAGACCCAGTGCCATGCTTAGAGTGTCCATGCAAGGAGACAGAGTAGGGGGCCCAGCTCCATGCCTGAGGTGCAAAGCACACCCCATGCGCAGCTTACCAACCCAACCCACTGCACCTAGGAGCCTTCAGCTCAGCTCGTAGCCCCAGACAGCCCAGGCCCAGCACCCCAGTCACCCGACCTGGCCAGGACAACTGCTCTCAGACCTCAACTGCACTGTGAGGCAGAAGGAGCCCCCAGACCATGCACACACTGCCCTGAGCTTGCCAGTAGCCAAAGGAGCCTCTACAAAAGAAGGAGGTTGGGGCATGAGTCCCATGACTTGCCATCAATGTTGGCCACTGAGAGGCAGGACCCTGTGGCCTTGGCTGAGTGTCTCCAAGTCTCCCTGTGCCCAGGCCTCCATGTCTCCAGGCTGCTGTGCCCACAGCTGTGCCCATCACTAGGGATATTGAGTCATGTGCACCCACTGACCATGAGGAAACCACAACCCAAACCATCAGCAGGCCAGGCACCTGGCATACACACCATCCTTCATCACCTCCTCCCCTGTATGTCTCTCCTCCGAGCTCCAGTTTGATGTGCAGCAGCTGGAAGCTACAAGGCCCACCTGCAAAAAAGGACACACCAGCCACTCCCCAGCTCAGCACCACCTGCAGGGGCGAAAGCACCAGGGCAACAGCCCCACACCACGCTCCCTGCAGCCTGGGATCTCCAGCCAGGGATGCCCAGGTGACTTCTGCCTCTTGCAGGGCCCCTACACCCAGCCCACACCTGGAAGACTCCACAGGTCCTCCCTACAGCCCCTATGTGCATGACACAACCCCTGGCACCCCCCCGCCCAAAGAGGTCCCCCCACACCCAGCCCCTTCCAGGCTGGCCCTTGCACCCCCCCCACCTCCCCACCCCAGCACCAGCAGGGCTCCTCTTACCCCAGCACCCTCCTCCATGCCTGGCAGCCAGCCAGATCTGCACAGTCCTAGGCAGGCAGCAGGGCTGGAAAGGCTCAGGAAAGAGCAAGGTACTCAAAGGGCCAAGGTGGGACTTGGAACTATCAGGTCACAAAATCCTTGGACGCAGGTGTCGCGGTGGATGTAGTCTTTCTGGACTTTAGGAAGGCCTTTGACACTGTCTCCCACCCTATTCTTATTAAAAAGCTAGGCGACTGTGGCATTGATGCCTACACAGTCAGATGGGTCGCAAATTGGCTGAGGGGGCTGTACCCAGAGAGTGGTGGCGGACGGGTCCTGGAGGGATGTGGGCAGTGGGGTCCCCCAGGGCTCAGTCCTCAGGCCCGCACTGTTTAATATATGAATCTATGGGCTGATGGATGGTGCAGGTGATACGAGTGTATAACTGGGAGAATTATCCAACACTGCTGGCAGCAGGCCAGCACCATGTGTGTGCCTGTGTCTCGCTGTGTGCCCCCCCACAAAGAATAAGACGCAGCTGGTTCACATCATCCTGAGTTTTTTTTTTTTAAACACTATTTTTCTTTTTTTTCTGTTTAATTTATTTGCAGTTTCCCGAGACAAAAACAAAACCCGAGTCGTCATTGACACTTACAAGGCTCATAAAGAAAAGACAGTGAGATGCCAAGGAATGGAAAGGGGAAGAAGGGGATTCGACACCCGCATGCAGCGGGCACAGGGTGGGTGCGTGGTGAGGCTCAGCAAGATGGGGTGGCCAGGCAAAACTGGGGCACCTGGAAGGGCAGGTCCCATGATCGCAGAAACCCCCATTCCTCGGACACAAGAGGCAGGGCAGCAGCGCCAGGGGCACCCACATGGTGTGGGGAACAAAGAGCTGCTTCCTTTCTAGTCCATGTCATCCCTGCAGGCATGAGAGCCCACCTGTTCCTGCTCCTCTGGCAGGACCAACTTCCTCCCTGAAAAGAGCCCCCAGACACACACTATTGACTGGAGGGTGAACCAGGCCACAGCCTGCCCAGAACCAACCAGCTGGCCCCTACCCTGCCCCAGCTCCCACCTCCTCTGTGCAGGTGGACGTGGAGCTGTCCACCAGTGCATGGAGAGGACCCAAGGCCTGGAGCGGACCCTGGAGCCTCATGTAAGGCAGCTGCCTTGGCCGGTGGCTTGGCAGGCCCCCCTCCCACCCCACCTAAGAGACCCATTCTCTTAGTCTAAAGTGCTTTACGGCTGTGTCCGGGAACAGCCCCTGCTCCTTGGGCTCCATACCACTCCCCAGCCCAGCCTACCTCTGTGCCTGGGTGCACAGTGCCCTCACCCCCTCCAGGCAAGCTGCCAGCTCTCATGGCTGCAGCGCCCACTATGCCCCTCCCATGGGTTGGAGGGCCGGGAGGGGGGGGCACACTAACCCCTAGCCCATGTTACCATCCAGCCTAGCTCTATCTCAGGCCTTGTTGCAATTCTTCCATAGGTTCCGGACAAACTCCCCAACCCCTGAAGGATCAGAGCCCTGCCACTATAGCTAGCTAGCAGCATCACTCGAGTGTGCCCCCGACATGCACACGATGTACACCGTCACTCACACCCTCAAACCAAGGACCCTAGTTGCATCTAATTGCTACACTGCAGCACCCCCCACCCAGCTCCTTGGACCACATCTTGGCCACAGGCCTTTGAGACCAGCCCAACTTTTGGTCACCCTGTCCCTGCCTCCATGATGACATCCCTCTCTGTTCCCTGCCAGGCTCCAGGAAAGCTTAGCTTGAAGCACCAGGGTGGATAGCCCCCACAGGGACTCTGCCTGCATCCACACGGACTGCAGCTGGGACTGCTGAGAGCCCCAAACTCTGCCCAGCCTGGCCCTGCCCGCTCCCCACCTAGGCCACCTGGCATGGCAGGACCCCAGCCAGGGAGAGCCAGAGCCCTCTGCTAGGGCACACTGTCTCTCCAATGGCATCCACTCAATGGTGGACCAGCCAGGTCATAGCAGCAAGCCTCCAGTCTTGACAAGGAGCCCCCCTTGTGCCCCTACATCTACCTGGCTCCAACCCAAGGGCACCCACCCAATGCCTGCCCAAGCCTAGGGAGAAATGGGTGCAACCTTCACCATCCCAGGACATACAACCACTGCCTGCTGAAACCACATGCCCTAGACCTCCCCAGCAGAAGGACCCCCTCAGCCTCCAGCTTCCTCGCCACCTTCACTCCGAGTTTCCCCATGTCTGTATACCTAACACCAGCTGAGCCACCCAGCACCACACTGGGAGGGGAAGCTACAGCCAGAAGGTCAGGGGCTCGGTTCCACAGGGAGAATGACATGCGGCGCATGCCATGTTCCCACACAGCAAAGCAGGTGACACCCCACCAGCTCTGATTTGGGGCAGGGGGGGTTGAGTAAACCCGGACACACAGAGTTGCTGGCATACTCCCCATAGACACAATGGCAAAGTCACAAGCCCTCTGTTTGGGCACAGACATGGCAGAACCTGAGCCTCATGCTGCTCTACAGCCACATAGGCCAACAGCATCTGATTTGAAGCTTCAGGGCTTGCCATGCTGCACCCAGGATGGCTGTAGAGCCACCTCGACACCCTCTCCAGGGCCTTTTGTTCTCGTGGAAATACCAGGCCTCATGGCCAACACAGGCTGCTTTTCATTCTCCCAGCTCCGCACACCTCCCTCCCCTAGGGACAGCACTATGGCCACAGGGAAACTGCCCCACAGCCCTGCACGCCTCACTGGGGGCACATTCATCCACCTGCTATCCTATTCCCTCCCAAACTAGGATGAGAGGAGACCATGGCCTGGGCCCGTCACCCCCATACCTCAGCTGTTAGCACAGGCACTGACAACCTGGGTGGCTCACAGCCTGGTCCCACACCGCTGTTCTGTAATCTGGAGCCCACAATCAGGCTGGAGAAGAAGCAGGAATCTCTCACGCAACACTAGACCAACACCCCCTCCTGCCTGCGGCACTCACTCCCTTTGCTATTTCACAGGGACCTCATAGACGATGAGGGTTGGAAGGACCGCAGGCGGTCATCAAGTCCAACCCCTGCCCAAAGCAGGACCATTCCCAACAGGGCTTTGTCTACCTGCATCTTAAAAACCTTAAAAACCTCCAAAACCTTCTGGATCCTGAACCCCTCTGTACCTCTCTAACCTGAGGTTTCCCGGGATCCCCCGACTATGGGACCCAGCATAGAACAAGGAGCCTGCCACAAGCCCCACCAGCTTTGCCTCCCGCCACACTGCTTCCACGCCAGCCCAATCAGCTGGGAGGGGAAAGGACTGCAACCCCCCCTCCCAAAACCCCCCAAATATATATATAGAGAGAGAGAGAAAGAGAGAGATTAAATGAGGAGAGGGCAACTGAATCTGAGGAGCATCCAAAGAAAAACATGACAACCCGTCGGCGCGCAAAGGAAAGAGTCCGAAGAAGAAGTAACAACCATCATCATCATAATAATCCACAAGCACAAGTAGAAGGGCAAAGAAAAGAGGGGGCCTGAGCGTCCGCAGGGGCGGGGGGGCCACGAGTCCTCCAGAGAACGAATGGTTGAAGCGCACACGACCACGGGAGCAGGCCCATGCTTTGGCAGAGAATGCAAGTCGCCTTGGGGGTGGGTGGGCGATTTTTTTTCAGGCTTTTTTTGTTTTTCTTTTGTTTGTAAATCACCTAACGAACTAGACCATTGTTCCACATGGGGCATGTTGGGACGGGGGAGGGGGAGGTAGACACAGGGTGCGGCAGCCACGGAGCCTTGGGACATCCCCCCTCGGGCTTCGGTCTGGTCCACGATCGCTGGTGTCCTTCTCCCCTTTCATACGTTCGGGTCGCAACACCTAGTCACCAGGACAGACGGACATGGGGACAGGACGGGAAGGGGACGCTCGGCTGGGATGGAGCCACTGGAAAGGTCACGTCTGGCCTGGGGTGGTTTTTTTTTAATTTTTTTTTTTTTTGTACTTTTTTAGATTTTTTTTTTTAAGATCCTTAGGTTTTTTTTTCCCTTTTTTTTTTTTTCTGCAAACACAGGCACTGGAGATGGGAGGGGTGGGGGGAGGGGGACACGAGCATGCGGGCGCGTGCTGGCCACTGCTGCTCCTGGCTAGCGGCTCGGCGCGAAACACCGTCTCCGTCGGGGATGAAACCACAACAGTCGGCGTGAGCTCTGCAGAGACACAAGGACATGCGTGCCGGCCCCGTCACTGTCCGCCTGGCGCTGGACAGGGCACAGGGGTGCCATCCCTCTGCACATCAGGCTACAGAAGCTCTGGCCATGTTGTATGAAGGGAGGGAGGTCTTCTCTGCATCACCAGAGACCTTCACCTGGCTGCAGCGAATGGGGAAACTGAGGCCCAGCAAGGACATGGGATGCCTCTGTGTATGGGGGTAACAGGGCATGATTAAGAACATAAGAGCTGCCATAGACTGGGTCAGACCTTAGCTCCGTCTTGCCCACCCTCCTATGCTGGAAGGGAGAGTGAGCTGGGCATGACCCAGGTTGCTTCCCCTGCTCCTCTCTCACTTGCCTCTAGCATTTAAGGTCTGGGACATTCAGATTTAGAGGCCCTTCCCCTCATGCCCAGTACCCCTTTATAGGGAAGCTGGTTTGCACACTGCAGGGGTTCAGACACTGCCAGGGGCTGCTTCCAGGCTCTTCCTCCTGGCACTGCCAGGGGCAGGGGGACCCAAACTAGGACCCCCGGAGGGGGCAGGGGATGAGCATCCTAGCCTCACCTTCACTGGAGTGGTGCCACGGGTGCCCCCGAGCAGTGGAAGTGGACGTTCTGCCACTTGCCGTCGCGGCGGTGCCACACACGAGTTTCCTCAGACTGGCTGGTGCGGGGTCGGCCCTGGCCGTCGATGTACTGTGTCAGGCGGATGTAAGCGATGCAGGCTGCGTCGTCCCCAATAACGTGCACGTGCGGGTTCAGGATGGTTGTGTGGATGGGCTTGTTGTTTTTGGATAACACTGTGGGGGCACCGGGGAATCGCTGATCAGGGCTTGGGGGCAACCACACCACAGTGGGGGCTGGCAGCAGCCCCCACTGCCCCGGCCCCTCCTCACAGCCCCAGAGGGAGATGGGATCCCCTTGGGCAACTCCTGGGGGGAGAATTCTCTTCACCCACCCCTGGAAGGGGCACCATTCCCCTCCCTCTGCCCTCCAGATTGGGATTGTTCCCCACGCACAACCCTGGGGTGGGGGAGCTGTCCTCATGCCACCCCAGGCTACTCCACATCCCTCAGGGTCTCCCTGAGGTCCACGCGCAGATGGAGGAGCTGCCGTTGGCTGCTTGCCTGGGGCATATGGTTTTCAGGAGGGTCAGGAACATTGCCCGGGGTCCCGCTGACAGCCAGGGGGCCAGGGCCACTGGGGCTGCCAGGGGGCCAGGGGGCCAGGGCCACTGAGGCTGCCGTGGGACACTCACAGTTCTCGAAGTAGAATCTGTGGAAGTCCATGCCCTCAACCAGGTTGCCCAGGGCTTCAGGCTCGAATGAGGTGAGACCTGGGTCACAGATCTTTCTGGAGGAGGACCGGTAGAGGGTGAGAAGCCTGTCCTGGCCCTGGCTATTTGCCCCTCTCTCTGTAGAGCCCAGTTCCCCATGCCCGCCCCCCCACCATCCCCTCTCCCCCCACTTCCCCACACAAGGCTTCCTAAAGGCTCGCATCCACGACTGCTGAGGACACAAGGGCAGGCAAGATTCGCTCTACAAAGTCCAAGGCCCCTTCCCAGGAGAGCCCTCTCATTCGTGGGTGATTGGAGCCCTCCGCGTGAGGTTGAAGCTCCCACCAGACCTGTTACTGACCCTCCCAGGAGGTGGCTGCATTGCAGCTGCAACCCAGACACCCGCCCGCTGTGCACACACCACCGCCAGCTTGCTGGGCCCCTGCACTCACGCGTAGGCCTCAAAGTCTCCGTTATTCACTGCCTCAATCAGCTGCTCTGTGATCTTGATGATCTCCTGCTTCCTTGCTGCGGGCATGAAAAAGGCAGAGAATCACCAAGCTGCCCATGGAGGGCCTGCCCCACTGCTCAGCAGCTCCCCACGGCCCATACCCTCACACGCCTGGCTGAGCACAGAGCTCGAGCACCAAGCAGGTAATCCACAGAGCGCACACGCCCCAACTCGCTACCCAGACCGGAAGCCACAGCATCCCAAAACCCCAGACTCCAAGTCCGGAGTTACCCCCCGTGCTCCACAAACAGCCCAGGCCACCCTCTGGCTGCATCCCAACAGCCCAGCTCCATACTCCTCCGGCGCCCTGTGCCTAGCCCCCAGCTGCAGCCACCACGGGCACGGAGCCCCATGCCCAGCCCGGCTCTTCCCCAGAGCTGAGAGCCAGGGCTGGGCACCAGTGCAACATGCTGGTGACCCAGTTAGCTCCAGCCCCATGCATTATGCAGGGAGGCACTGCTCCACGCTCTGCTGAGGCCACGACCTCAGAGTGGTGCACGGAAACTTCTGGCCTGCCATGCAGCATCTGTTTCACGCCCCGCTGAGATTCCCCCGCCTGCCCTGGATCCCTATGCAGACACCTGGGGGGCTCAGTCAGGCCACAGTCCCTCCCTTGCCAGCTCAAGCTCCAGCACAGCCACCCCATCTCCTTGCCATGCTCAGCTCTAGGTCCCTCAAGCCCTGACTTCTCAAGGCTCTTCCCTCTGCAGGCCTGAAGGCCACCCTAGCCAAATGCTTAGCATAGGCAACATCGTTTTGTGCCCTGACATAACTAATGACACTACCTAAAAGCAAAGCCAGTGGGTCGTTGTTTAGGGTGACCTTTTCATAACCCACATGAGCAAAAAAGTTAAAAGAGGATGTGGTTTAACAGACCGAGACAACAGCCTGACAGGAAAATGAGCACTGTGAAAGATGACTGGTGAATATTTATGGTATGCATCCAGAAGAGAACTGTAAGAAAGGTATATAAAAACCTAGGAAAAAAAACTTAAAGTTGGTGAGAGGGAAAGAAACAACTACTCGAACCCTGGCACGGTCATGGATGCTTGGCCAGCTGACATGCCTGCATCCATCAGAAGGCTCGCGGAAGAATAGTTATATTGACTGTTAGGGCTTGCTTGAAAGCAGAGTGCTGTATTTAAAGCCTTGCTTGAATATTGGTATTATTTGTGTGTTCAGTCAGTTAGGGTGTGGGACCAGAATAGTCTCACTGATTAGTTCATTTTCATTCACCCCATTCCTTAACTAAATTTAGTACAACACCCACACACCCTGATTTCCACGTGGATGGCAGAAAAGCCTCTCTCACACTGTGGGGAGGCTGCTGGAGGTGGCCCAGGGCCATTACTGGTCAGCCCCACAATGCTGCTGCACCTCCACGGGCACTTGTATTCAGGGTGGATGGCCGCATGGAAGGTTATTTGCACACCGGACTGGGCAATGTGGGAGCAGGGCTCACCTCCCCTGTCTGCTCCTCACCTCCACAGGCAGAAAGCTGACTCCACATGGGTGCTTAGGTCTCTGTCTGCCCACCCTGGGCTGCACTGACCTAGCCACTGCTGCTCGTTCATGACGCGTGCCCTCAAATGCATGCCAGACACCTTGGTGCCTGGGCCCCCAGCTGCTCTCCAGAGCTGCCCTGCCTCATGAGCTCTCCCGGTGATGCCGGGGACCCAGCTCTGTGACCAGCAGAGAAGGGGAAAGTCAGGTAAGTCAACCTTCCTCCACACAAGGGATGCCTGCAGCAGCAGAGGGCAAGGACACATGCAGCTGTTCTTTGCTCACACTGGCAGGATCAGACCTGGACCCCCAAGCTGGCAGAGGCAGAGCCCCATGGAGCGAGCTCTGGCATCACATAGCTTCTAAGCAACACACACCAGCTCTGTAGCATCTGCCATGGCCCAGGTACCCTGAAGCCACTGACCTCCCCTCCCAGAGCCCTCTGCCCACAGCACATGCGAGTCCCAATGCAGTACATCTGATCTGGCTCCGCTCTCGTGGAGGAGGCACAAAGCATGACCCCTGCTCTCCCTGCTGCTTGGAGGGAGCCCGTCCTCACATTCCCAGTCCACGCAAAGCCCCTCCCTACATGGCACCGGCTGGTCATGTGCGGCACTCCCTGGCCCCCAGCCTGACACTATCTCCAAGGCATCTCGGCTCACATTCCCTGGTGTCTCCCGGGCTGACACCCAGCTCTGTAAGTGATCTGCCAGCCTGCGGCCCTCTGGGCAAGAAAAACCCCTGGCCCTCTCTGCCAGGAAGGGGGCCACCACTGGCACCCACCCAGCTGATGGGGGGCTGAAAGGGCTAACAAGCGCTGGCACCCAAGACACGAGACATCCCTGGGCTCCCAGCATCCACCTCTATTGATATTGCTGCAACCCCAGCACTCAGTTCCCCCATCCCTGCCAGCAACCAACCCACAGCCACTGGCTAGTGTGGCCCAGACCTCATCCCCAGCCCAAAGCTTCTTTCCCCACTGCTGCTGCCACCTCTTTCCAGCCCTGGCACCACTCCTCACTTCTACCCTACACCACTTGCCAGCTCCACTGATGCCCCCTGACACCGAACGCTAAGCTCCAGCTTGCTATTCTGCCTCAGGACATTACTGCTGTCCCTCACCTGTGCTGTACCTCCAGCTTGTTCACACCACCACAGCATGCCCCAGGCCCCAAACTGCCCAGGGGCAAGGCCCCAGCTACTTACACTGGAGAGCTGGAGGGTTGGTGGCAGCCGGAGGCAGACAGGGCTGGCTGGCAGCGGGGGGAGGCCCCTCGGCGTCTGGGGAGCCTGCGCCCCTTTTCACAGTGCTTAAAAGGTCAGAGAACCGGGCTGCTATGGGGATTGATGACAGAGCAGAAAGGAGAGAGAGGGATGAGACAGGGGATGGGATGGAGGAGACAACAGAGGAGCCCAGGCTGCACCAGGGGAGGGCAGGATGGAAAGGGACCAGAGGGACTGGGATAGATCGGAGCACGACTGGGCCAGCCCCACAGCCACACCAAGCCCCTGGCCCATGTCTGCCCTCACCATAGAACAGGGGCAGGGCAGGGGGCAAATCCCTCATAATTGCTGCTCTGACCTAGTCCAGCTCTTGCAGGGACCTGGCCTCTGGACGGGCCACAACAGTGCTTGGAGCACTAGCCAGGGCCTCCCACTGCTTGGGTCTCTCACCACTCCCCTGCTACCAAGCACTGGTGAAGGGTCACTTTGCCCAGCCAAGTCTCTTACAGCACTGGCCTGAGAGCCTGGCCTGATCGGCTGAGGCAAAGGCAGGTCCGAGTGCCAGTGGGGAGAGGGGTCCTTCCTTTGCACATCTGTCCAACCCCAGGAGCTGTGCAGAGCCTGCAGGGAGCCCTGAGCTCACAGACTAACTCTGTGGGTTGGTGGGGAGGAGCGATAGAGCCAGGCTAATGGAGGGCTGCAGCATCTCTCTGAGGGGTGCCTGCCTCACAGCTGCCATGCTTGAGGGGCCATGGCCAGGGGCAAATGCCTGCTGGGTGCCCTAGCCCAACACCAGCTGGAGAGACTGGGGGGACTCGCCGGGACTTGCCCACCCACATGGCTTCACATCTGTTGGGATCAGGGGCAGAGACGGTATCGTAGCCGGGAGCTCTTGCCCTACCCTCCTGCAGGAATCCCAGGGACTAGAGACAGGTGAGCCGTGCTGCAGCTACCCGGGGTCTCAGGCACCAGGGAAGGCTCTGAGCTCCTGGGGGGTCTGGCTGCAGCCCAAGACCTGCTACTTACACTGGGGAGACAGTGGGTTGGTGGCAGCCGGAGTCGGGCAGGGCTGGCTGGTGGCCGGCTGTGGCCCCTCGGTGTCTGGGGAGCCTGAGCTCCTTTTCACAGTGCTTAAAAGGTCAGAGAACCGGGTGGCTATGGGGGAAAAGGGAGAACAGACAACAGTGTGGAGAGGGGAGAGAGGAATGAGAGGAGGATGGGAATGGAGGCATCACAGAGTGGGGCAGAGACAGTTGGGGCTGGCTTCTCTGCCACGGGGAAGGAGTGCAGCCAGACCGCTACCAGCAGAGCCCTCCCGGACACCGGAAACCAGCCCCTTGTCCCTTCTCTGGGATTTTCTTGGCACCCACATGCCCAGGCCTACTGCCGGCTGCTTGACAGCCCAGGGTGTCAGGGTCTCTGGTGAGGCAACCCCCACGCTACTGCTATCACCACGGTTTTTCCTGGAGCTGCTCCTCTCTAACCATTCCAGCTACCACCAGAGCAGCTGGACACCTGTCTCCTCTATTAGGGCAGTCTAGCTGACATGTTACCAATGCCAATTATGCAGATCACTGGCCTCAGGGGCTAAGGTCCAGGAGTTGCCTGTGCTGTTGTCCAGCCCAGGGACTGGGGGAGCCCTGGAGCTGCCAGGAAAGGGGCATGGGGAGTTGTGTGGCCTGGTGTGGTCCATCTCCATATGGCTGCCTCTGGGATGGAGCTCTGCATGGGGAAGGAGGGGGTCTTTGGTCCCAACCACAGGTTGCTGGGACAGGGTCACAGGGAGACATAGGTGTGGGGAGAGAGCGAGACGGGGAGATAGGAACATATGAAGATGACCAGACAGCGGTATGGACAGAGAGCGTGCATAGAGAGCTGGGCACAGGGATAGACAGAAGGCTGGACACATGCCAGGCTCTGCGGTGACCCAGCCCTTCCATCTCGCCCTCTGCCATGGGGCCAGAGAGGCGCCACTCATGACCCAGGGCACTTACATGCATGGAGGTGACTTACACACAGCAGCGGCAGCGGCAGCAACAGCGGGAGCTGGAGGAGGAGGGCTGGGCACCTCGGTAGTGGGTCCCAGCTCCATCGGGCTCTCAATGTTGGGGCCCTTGGCTGGGGGAAGGGGGTGGGCAGGAGGGAGAAATGGAAATAGACACAGAGAGAGAGGAGAGAAAAGAGACAGCAATGGCATAGAGACATGAGTGGTGGGAGAAACAGATGCACAGAGCCCACCCAGGGCTGGGAGGGAGTGAGGTGATGGAGCTGGGGAGATGATGACAGAGAGGAGACAGGACTAGCAAAGGGGCCTGGCTGAGTCCTTTCACTAAGTGTCTCTTTGGGAGGCCCAGCCTGGGACGTGTCCTCCAGCAGGCTTTACGCTGCCTGGCCCACACCATGTCCCCTAACACACATGCAACACACCCCAGCCACAGCACACCAAGCCTTGGCCCCCTGGCAGCCCCGGGACAGGCTCCACCCCCCTGGTACCCTACACAGCAAGTCTGACTCCCTCCTCCGCCCTCTGAAACCCTTCAACACTGGCTGAGCAAGCAACAACCTACCCCTACTGCACACACTGCACCCACAGCTCGACCCTACCCAAGGCAGCTCGACCCTACCCCAGGGCAGCTCAGACTTGTCCAGTGGGCATCTGGCCCCTGGGCCTAGCCCTGCCACTTCCCATCTACTCCCTGCTCTCCGCCTGACATCAGACGTTGCACCGCGGCCCCAGGATGGCACCAGTCGCCATCTCTGAGCTCCTGCCCTGGCAGGCCCCATGGGCTCCACCACTGTGGCGTGAAGGGCCAGCCCCCAGGTCCTCAGGTCCCCCTCTCTGGCTAGCCTGACCAGCCTGAAGCCAAGAGAGCTCTGGGGGTGCAACAATGCCTAGGGCCTGGCTGGGGGCATGCCGACGTCCCTATTTCATGAGGTCCCAGCACCACTCCTGGGGGCCACGGCACTGCTAGGACCTGGCTAGCACAGACCTCCAGGCAGTCACCAAGTCTTTTCCTTGCCTCCAGGCTCATCCCCCGCCTGGCCGGTGGCCCCCAAAGCCTGAATGCCCCATGCATGCCAAGCCCGGCTTCACTCACTGCACCACCGACCCCAGCTGTGGGTTACCTTTGGTGTCCTCGTCTTCAATGGTGGTGTTGGTGCTGTCCGATGACTCCTGCAGGAACCAATGGGGGGGGGGGGGGGAGGGGGAGAGACAGGAGGAATGTGTTAGTTCAGGCTGCCCCAGGCTGGAGAGGCCAGGACAGGTCTCTGGCCTCTCTGGCAACCCCAGCCCCAGCCAGCTGGGGGGAAGATGCCTTTTTCCCCAGGACCTTTTTCCCCAGTCTCCCCAGCCCCCACTTCTCAGAGGTCAGTTTGGATGCCTCTTGGACTCAAATGAATGACCTGAATGGCACCATATGACTGAATCCCAGCTTCACACTGGCTTCTGGTGACCAGGAACTCTGTTACCAATGCTCCTGGGTGCCTGACATACAACTGGACACCAGATCCTGACACTTAGCCTGCCTCCCCGGGCCTGACATCAGAGGCCCAGCTCCTACAGGCTTTCTCTGCTTTCTCCAGCTGCAAGAGGACAGACACCGTCACCCAGCAGTCAGCATGCACAGGTGAAGCATGCTGGATGGACCAGGCACCTGCAGTGCTGTGCTGTGCTGTGCTGAAGAATGCACCCTCCCTTTCTTTCCAGCTGCCTGGAGACCCTGACCTTTTAGATCCAGCTTCTCTGCTCCTCGCTTTGGGCCTCCAATGGTGATAATGCACAGCAAGGAGTGCTGGCAGCTAAGCACAAAGCTGTGTCCTTTTCCATGGGCAGCAGAGAAGACTCTATCTACAGCTCAGACCCTTCAGCCCGCACATGGAAACTTCACTTGCTATCCAAGACACCTCTAACCATCCCGTGACTGAGGGGACATTAGAGACCAGGCAACACACACCCTGGCCCCCTTTCCTTGCACATGCTTCACTCATTGCAAAGACAAAACAGGCTGCAGCTCAGACATCAAAGACTCCCTTTCTCTAACAGGCATCGTGTCACCCAGGCACAAGTTGCTGCTGCTGTCCTATTCCAGGCTCTCCCCAGGGACCCTGGGAGTGCAACCAGCCCAGCACAGACACTCTAGGTGAGGCTCCAGGCCTCAGTCTCTTGCCTTGAGGGGAGCTGGTTTGGACTGTACCGTGCTCTGGCAGTCCCGAGCAGGCAGAAGGGTCTCCGCCAGGCAGGGGTGGAGGGCTGAACCCAGTTGCTTGGGCCTGGCAGAGGCTCTGGGCCACACCGCTCTGTGCACCAACACTTTGAGACAGCACTGAGCGCAAGTGCTGGAGAACTCTTTTTCACCAGGCTCCATCTCCTGGTTATCTCAGCTTGGACAATGTGTCTGAAACCTGCAGCTGCCTCTGCCCAGAGCAGTGTCTTCTGCCCTCACAAACCCTGGTGACCATCTGACATAGCTAATGAAGACACAGCACAGCCACCACAAGACTCTACTCTTGGACAGGTTATTCCCAGATGTCAGCAGCCCGGTATCTGCCTGGCCATCCTGTGGGGAATGCTGGGGCTGCTGACATCTGGGAATAACCTGTCCCAGAGTGGAGGGGCAGAGAGGCTACAGAGCCTGCAGCTGGTTATCAATCCCCCTCCCACAGGTGCAAGAGGCAAGATCGAGTAGCAACCTGGAACCTGGAAGAGAGCCCATCCACCAGCCTGGGCTACAGGGAGGGGACTATGTCAGTTGCCAAGGAGTGTGGAGTCACAGGCAAATAATCCTATCCAGTACTGAGAATCGGGACATAGAAGATGCAGATCAGAGTGAGACGAGCTGCAGCAGGATGGATGAAGGCAGGGTGGGGTCAGCAGTCTAGCCCCATCCTCTTTGTAACCACCCTTCAGATACTTGAAGGCTGCTACATGCTCAGTTTAAGGTACCGTAAAAATCAGACACAAAGATATTCTACGTTGCACATGGAACATCTTTGTGGATGGTTTGCATTTTATAGCACCATAAATTGGCTGAACTTGCGGCATCAGCTCCCTGAGGTCTGTGTGACAGTACCACCACATTGAGGAGAAACCCAGGTACCTTGGAAGCCGAGTGACACCCCACAGACCTCAAGGACCCCAGTGTCCTGCTTTGGAGCATCCCTTCATAGGCCCTAGGACCAGCTCCACCCCCTTCCCCCAACCCTCTCTGTCCTTTGGAGATCAGAACTGAAACCCAGCACATAGACCCTTGATAGAGACACCCTGTATCCAAGCTCATGGGGTTCCCCCCCAGCCTGGGGAACTCCCACCCCTTTGTCTGGAGAGAGACTGACATGTGTTACAGACCCACAGCCCAGCCCCAGGCCTGGTGCCAAAGGCAGGAGAACACAGCTGCACGGGGGACAGAGAGAGTCACATGTACTGGAGGCTGCACAAGGGGTGGAAAGCCGGAGAGCAGTACCTTAATGCCGTCCACGGGGTTATGGATAACGGTGGTTTGAGGCTCCTATAGAAGAGGGGGGAGAGACAGAGAGGAAGGAAGAGAGAACGAGGTGGCATTGAAGAGAGGGAGAGATGGACCGGAAAGACGGCGGTGAGAACATGGGGGTTGGGGGGGCGGACGAGACCCAGGGGCAGGGGAAGGATGGAGGGAGAAAAGCAAAAAGTGATTAGTCCCGCAAGAGGGCAAAAAATGATTAAAGACAGAGGAGCAGCAGAGTGATTTAGGGGGGCAGGGAAGAGAAAGAGAGAGAGAGAAAGAGAGAGTGCGTGTGTATGGAGAGTGCTGGGAATGGACTGGAGGAGGCATTGGAGCCATGGCGAGGCGTTGGGACAGAGATGGAGCTGGAGGGAGAGTGCTGCGGGAGGGGCAGAAGGAACGGACCCCCTCCTGTGGACCCTGCCACCCAGGGGCCATGAAGAGAGCAGTCACTGGCCAAAGGATGGCCCCCAGAGTTAGCCCATGCCTTTGTCATGGGGCCTAGGGGTCCAGGGGGATTGCTTGCCTGGGGGCTGCTTGTTGGCTCCCAACACAGGGCTGGGAGCAGAAGCCTGCCAGACACCCCTTCCCCCTGCCTCCCGGGACTGCAACAGGGGGAGGTCTCTTACCTTCCTTTGCCAAACAGTGCTGGAGCTGGCATCTTGCCTTAGGAGACTGTCAGCCTGAGCACTTACCTGGAGGGCACACGGGACTACAGACATGCTGACTGGTCTGGGCCCTGGGCTGCCGGTGCCTCCAGCCCATCCTGTGTCCAGGGCCTACAACCCACCTCCCTTAATGGCTGCCACAAGGGTGGGTTGGAAGCAGACCAATGCCTCGCCCTGTCCTAGGACAGGCAAGCAAGCCAAGGGGTCCAAGGCATGGGGCAGCACCTTCCTCTGAGGCAGGTTGGCAGGAGACTGGCGAGGCCTATGCTGCCTTGCCAAGGTGCCCCTCATGGGTGGGTCTCCCTTGGATGCTTCACAGGACACTCAGATGCTCCGTGCATGTCCCTGACCTTCCTAGGAGCAACAGGTAGGCTCTGGACTCAGGGTCCCCTCCAGACAGGTCCAGACCCCCTCCCCCACCAAAATAACCAGTAGCTGCTCTCTGAGACCCAGGAGCTGTACCTGAATTCACTCCACCATCTGACGGGGCTGTGTTGGGCTGATATGGGAGGCATGGCTGTCTGGGCTCTTACCTTTAGAGATGGACATGGACACCTGTCTTCTCTCCAGCCTTTGAAGAAAGCAGCACTCACCTGGGATGCCAAGGGATGCTACCCAGAGGGCCTGTCTCTGCAAGGAGAGCCTGGGGCTGGTATACCCTGGGCTCCAGATGGAGCTGGCTGCATGGGGGCCCACTGCAAGGAGAACCTCCAGTCGTTTCCTGGCAAGACCCCAATCAGGGAGGTCCACACCCCAGGACTGAGCAGATCAGGAATGAAGGCACAGGGAGTCAGGTAAAGGAGAGAGGGAGAGCACCCTTGACACTTGGGAGCACCCTGGTAAGCTTGGCCTGGCGGGCACCTGGGGTGGGCATGTAGATGGATGGGATGGGATGGAGGCCAGAATGCACCAAGGGCTGAGAGACTGCATGACAGCGAAGGGGTGGGGGGGAAGGGGCTGGAGGACGGCAAAGTCCGAGCCAAGAGCTCCTCTCAACCTGCATGGGGATCTCCAGGTGCGCCAGCTGGCTTCTGACTCACAGCCTCTTGACTCTCTGGCTACTCCTGATGATGCCACTCGCTAGAGCCAGGTCTGCCCTCCAGCACCTTCATCTGCTCTCCGGCTCCTTCATCTCTCTCCTGTCCCCCCTCAGGCTGGGCACCCCCTTCCCACCTGCGTTGTCTGGCTCTCTCAGTGCTACTTTCCAGCCACGGGGAGCCAGGTGGCTTCATTGCAGCCTGGTTCATATGCCCCCATGCCCTCATTCACATGGGGCAAGACCCAACCTCAGTGCAGCTCCAACTGCAGCTATCTTGCTTGCCAGCCAAGCCTCTCCACAGGCATCTGGGCCACTACAGTGGGGTGCAGGGGCGGTTCATGGCCTCTGGGATGGAAACCACACGGGGAAGCTCCCATGGATAAACTTGTGTAAGGATTGATACTGTGCCGGTGACAACAGCCAGACGCCAGTCACAGCCTGGCCCAGCAGAAGTGGGTTCATGCTGAGGTCTTGGACTTCACTTTTCTGCTCCAGGAGCCTTTCTGTGCAGCAATCCTTCAGGCAGTTGCCCCCACAGACCTCTCCTTGCATGCGCCCTGCCACGTGTTACCGCGCACTTACCCTGGCCAAGATGCGGTCTGCCCCATGGCGGCGTTCACCGACCGCAACTCACCATGTGCCAGGGGAGCTCTGCTCTGGGGTGTTGGCACGGCCAGGCGGGGGAAGGAGACCCAGCATGGGACAGCCTCTTGGCAGGAGGGCCTCGGGGAATTCCACCCCACTGCTGGCTATGCTGTGGGGTGTGTGGAGAGCCAGGCTAGCCTTGGGGCCAGGCTAAAATGGCCCCTGTGTCTGGAAGGGCATTGTGGATACAGGCCTTGTGCCCACGAAGCAGCGTGGCCAGGCTTTGCTGGGCAGGTTGAAGCTGGTGTGGGAGGTGGGGTCTGCCAGCTGGCTATGCAGCGGTCCCAGCCACGTGCCAGGCTGCTATCAGCAGTGTGTGCTGTTCCATGGGCCCAGAGACCCTGCCTCGTGCCAAAGAAAGAGCCATACCAGTGCTGCAGGTGGGAGCGTCCCCTTCGGGCTGGTGACGCCGGCACTGCCTTTGGTGCTGTTCGTCTGTGGCTGCAAAAGACAAGGCACAGAGTGGGGGAGAGACCTGTGAGCAACTCCCTGCTGGTGCCTGCCTGGGATCAGCAAGCCAGCACTGAGTGCACATCTGTGCCAAGCACCCATGCCCTCAACAGGTGTTTGTGGGGAACCAGGTAGATGCCCAGACCCCCAGCTCCAAACACATTGCCCCGGGCTGAGCCCAGGCACCTCCAGCCCTGCCCGAAGCCCTCTGGAAGTGGTGGGTCCCGCTAGCTGGCAGGAGACGGCTCTGCTCTCCCCCAAGTGCCTCTCACCTTGACTCCGTCGGCTTTCTTGTTCAGCAAGCTCTTAGCTGCTGCAGGGGGAGGGAAAGGATGGGTTTAGTACTGGCTCCATGCCCCTGGAAGCCACCCTCGAGCCTAAATCCCTTCTGGCCTGCCCCACAGCCATCAGGTGACAGGTCCCAGCTGGGCAGCACTTCTGCCCGCATCCACACCACACATGGCACCGTCTCCCCTCTTGCTGGGCCAGCCCTGGCCTCTCCTTTCCTGTCTGGTCCCAGAAGTGACCCTGACACCCCACTGCCTTGTGACTGAATCCATTTCCAGCACCAGGGGGCAGAGAGGTATCTCTTTGCCCTGGCCCAGGGGGCAGTGTGCCCACAGGCCACCCCAGCACCCTGCCCAGCCACTACTGGCAGAGCCCCCAGAGCTCTCTCTGGCCTATCCTGCTAGTGAGCAGGGACCCTACCCCTCCCTCTCTGGCCCCTATGCCAGCCAGCCCCACCTGCCCTCAGCCTTGCTACCTAATGAGAGGCCACTCTGGGATCTTCCTGCACATCTGAGCTATGCTGAGGGGAGACATGGAGTGTGGGGAAGCCTGGATCTCAAAGCAACAAATGCAACCTTATCAGGGCACTCACCTCTGCAGGCCACAGCCTCCCCCCAGCAGAGTCCATGGAGCCACACTCTGCTCTCTACCTGCCACCGCCCAGAGCCAGACACTAGGGCCCCTGCATCCCATCATCCCACTTTCCAGATGCCCCCACCCCAGCTTTGGGCTTCTCTTGGCTCAGATCTGGCATCCAACCCACTCTAGAGTCATCCCACTTCAGATCCGCTGGCAGCCCCAGACCCCTGGAGCAGCTTGGCCCTGGGGCTGGAAGGATGGTCAATAGCAGGGCCGCGGGGACCCTGGGTCGGACCCAACAGTCAGCTGGTCGGGAGTGAGCGGCACCACCTGCCTCAGGAGCCCGGGAGGGCTGTGGCCCAGAACTGAGCAACATCAGCAGAGCTACATGTGGGGGAGCCTGGGCTGGAGGGGGCTGCTGATCGGGTCGGTGGGGCATCCTCAGTGCACCAGCCTGAGAGCCCAACACTGTGGTGCCCAGCAGGGCTGGATTCACACATAAGCAAACTAGGCACATGCCTAGGGCCTTAAGTGAAGAAGGGTCCCAGTTGTGCTTATTTTACATAGCATACATATGAGTTTGTTTGCCTAGAGCCCACTAAAGGGTTAATCTGGCCCTGGTGCCAAGGGGCTCAGGCTGGTCCAGGGGAAGCTGCAAGGACTTGGGTAGCTTGAGCTTTGCTTGGCTCAGCCCTGGCCCAGAGAAGGAGGCCAGCTCCCACCTCCACTGGGGACCCACAGACACACCTGCCCCGGGCCCTGCTCCTGCCCCGAGAGAGCCTAGTGAGAGAGAAAACCTGTGAAAAGTTTGCTTACCTTAGAGAAAGGAGGAAAGCGAGAGAGACAGGCAGGAGGAGGAGGTGGAGGAAGGGGACGGACAGGAAGGCGCGGTGTGATGGAGGGAGGAAAAAAAGAAAGGAGAAGAAAAAGATGTGTTGAGTTAGGGAGAGGAAATAAATCCGAGCTGCCGGGAACCCGGCTCAGACTATTGCTCACATGGTGAGACACCCCGCACCACAAGCATCGCAGGGAGCCTTGGCTGTGCTGTGGCCCTCGGAGGAGAGATGTGGCGGAGGTCAACTCATCCAGGCCATTGCGGCCACGTCGCCCTGGTTTGCGCCTCTCCCCCACAGCTGTTGAGACCTGAGCCCTGCCCCCCCGTCTCCCTGCCCCGCGGCTACTGCTGGTTTCCTGTGTATGCAGCTTTGACCTTCCATGGCTTCTGCCCCCGTTCTGGGGCTCCAGGTCACCCTGTGGACCCAAGCACATGGGATCTGGCTCTGTGCCATCCTGCTGGCACCCAGCGGGCAGTTGGGAAGGGGGTGCCGGCACTTCCACAGCGCTGGTAGCTCCGTCTGCTCGCAGTCTTCTGGGAGATGGGAGTTTCTGCACCCCGTGAGGAGGGCAAGCCACGTCCAGTCCAACCCAGGCAGGACCAGCCCTGTCCAAACCCTCCCAGAGATGTCTTTGTCTGGCCTGGTCCTGACACCACACAACAGCCCTGTGTACCAGGCCTGTTGGTTCCAGGACAGAAAAAGCCCCCAGCTCTGCCCCAGGGCTGGCTGTGCCCTGCCACTGCAAGTGTTAACAGGCACTTGAGAGAGCCAAGCTATGGGTGCAAAGACCAAAGGCAGCAGTCAGGTGCTTGAGGCTCAGGGGCTGCCCAGCCTGGATGGCTCTCTCCAAAATACCTCCCTTAGCTCACAGTCAGGTGACTGGGCTGTGCCACAGTCTCCAGCCTGCCTTCCAGAAGGCATCTCAGGGCAGTCTTGTTGGCAGCTTCCAACCCTTGCTGAGGGATACGAGCTGGCCAGCCCAGGGGAGTTGGGAGCTTCCCTGCAGGAAGTGACCCTGAGAAGTCTCCATATGCAGATCCAAGAAGCAAGGCACCACCCTGGAACAGGATGCCTTCTGCCTTCTCATCCCCGCAGCAGTGCACATGCCCACACAGGGACTAGGCAAGCCCAGGCCCATGGCACACAGCAACAAACAGGTCCTTGGGGTGATAACAGGACTGTGGGGCACCTCCAGGAGAATCTCCTGAGGGAAACTCCTTCTCCTGGAGGGAACTCGGGCTCTGCTGCAGGGAGCCTGACCTAAGCCAGTAGCTAGGAGGAGGCTCCAGGGACCAAGCAGGCAGGTGGTGACAAAGTGCACATGGTCTGGAGACACGAGACTCTGGTTCTTTTACTAGAGGTTGAGAGAAGCTGGCAGTGCTGCTGAAGAGAGACACCAATGCCCGGAAAATGCTCCTTTCTGGAAGCACTGGGAAGATGACAGCAGAGCTGGCCTGGGCCTGCTGGATTTACTGACTTCAGGGCATGAATGATGCGTGCCCCGGTGACTGGGCGGGCACGTCTGTGCCGGCGGGAGCCCAGCAGCAGTGAGCGGGGAGCTCCCACAGACGCCGCCGGCAGTGCTGGCAGCGGGGGGGTGGCGAGCGCTGACCACAGGTCGGTGACCACTTGCAGGCACCACTGACAGCAGCGGCCAGGGGAGATCATGGACCACCTGCAGATGCCCACAGGTGCTGCTGATAGTGTTGGCATCCCCTTTTTGCAGAGGGTGCACCCGCATGCATTACACATTGCCCCTGGACTTCAGGAAAGCATGGAAGACCCCAAAGTTGGGGATGGCTGCAAGAAGGGATGCCTGTCATGCCCTGGGGGGAGTGGCGAAGACTGAAAGGCCAAGCCCAGAGCCATCCAGAGGGAGCAAGAGGAGCCTGCAGGAACAAAGCTGGATGCAGGAAGACAGGTGCCAGGGACAGAGAGGGCACAGCTGCTTGGAAAGGAAACTTCAGACCTTATCCTGGCTTCCAACTAAGGCCTCTACAAATACCTTCAGAAACATGTTCCAGGAATGGCTCGTGTCGGCCTGAGTCCAGGCGCCAGGAGTGGAGGAAACTGATGAGCAGTGGGAGATGTACACTCAGCAGCATGTGCTTTCCACTGGCCTGTAGCTCCCATGATCTCAGGAACCGTGGTGCCTTGCTCGCTGCTCTGGGCATCACATCCAGAGCCAGCTGTGCTCTTCAGAGACAGGAACTGTCCCTTCCATATGGAAGCACTGGCCCCAGTCTTTCAGCCGCCACATCTGGGCTGTATGCTCCCCACAGAGTGATCTTGGCACCAGGGGGATGAAGCAGCATCCTCTTGGCTCTGTCAAGTCCAGGTGCATCCCTGGTCACAGAGGACATGGGCCCCTGCGTCGGGGCAGCTTCCCCCATCTGGTAGGGAATGGTCGTGAATGACTTACTGGGGAGACTCCAGCCAACATGGGGTAGCACATCCCAAGTTTGGCCCCTGCTCCTCCACCAAGGTCACTACTGCCATCAGTTGCTCTGCCTGACTTGGACAGATCCCTACGTGGCAGAGCAAATGGAAGCCCATCTGCCATCAGACATAAAAGCCCATGGCAGGCATTAAACTCTTCCTGGACATCCCAGAACTGACCTCAGCGTGGCTACTCTTAACCAAGAGGGCTTGGAAAAAACAACTTGAAAGCAAACTGGCATGCGCCAGGATGTCATCTCCAGGCTGGCCTTGCCAGGGACTGAGGATTCTTATGCCATGACCTGGAGTAGCTTTTGAGATCCCCTCCATCCCTATGCATCAATAGCCCCTCTTCTGTGCTCAGTGCTGCCCTTTCTCCTTCTTTCCCCACTTCTCTGTCCAGCATTTATATCACAGAAATCAAAGAGAAGTGGGACCTGCAGAAGTCACATCTAGCCCAACCCCTGGTTGAGGCAGGATAAGCCCTGTCCAAACCATTCCAGACAAACCCATCATCTGACTTCTTATCAAAACAACACAGTCGACCCTGACACAGCACCACACATCACACCCGAAAGTCCATGAGGGAACCACAGCTACCAATGTCCTGCAGCTGCACAGGCTAACATATACTGGAGAGATACCAAAGAGAGGTTGTGTCCCCGCTACAGAGGAAGGAAAACCTCCCCAGTCTGTAACCATCTGAGCAGGGTGGAAAATTCCTTCCAGACACACTGGCTATGCAAATGCTGGCTCTTTGCAAGCCCTCTTGTAGCCTCAGAGGCAGGGTGCTGCTGCTCATGATGGTTTGTGTATGTCTGCTAGAGTTGGCCTGTAAGGTGCACCACTGCCCTGCTTTCCACCGCTCTGTCTGCATCCACCACTACTGCTCCCTTGCTGTTTAGGGACCACAGTAGCAGCAGTGGGGACTGAGTCTGACTGGTGTACACATGCATCCTCAACACATGCAGCCTCAAGGAACGTGGCCGCCCGTGTGTAGTCTGGGCTTCGTCCAGCAAGCATCTGTATTGCCTCCCCTGGTGCCTCAGGTACCATGTCCCTCCTCTCAGCCACGCCACAGTCCCTGCCTCCTCACAGGTGTGTCCTCACCCAGCCCCACAGGGAATCCAGTGGGTTAGGGCCGCCAAGGGATTCAACCTCTCCTCTGAAAGCGAGGCCGGGAAGCTGGCAGGGCAGGCACTGCCACGCCTAGGGTGGGAAGCCAGTCGCTCACCAGTTGCTGCTCTGGCGGCAGGGAGGTTCCAACCATGCCGCGCATCCCAGGCTGCTGCCGCCGGGCCCAGCCTTAGCCACCGCGGCCATGCACTTCTTTCTGTGCCCCCATGCAGCACCAGAGCACGCAAAGCAGCAAGCGGCCCTTGCCTCCAGCCTGCATCTTGGAGGATGGTTGCACCAGCATGCAAGGGGGCCTCTGACACCTCATGCACTGGTCACCACAGTCACCTGGCAGGCAAGGAGGAAGGAGCAGACAGGCCGTGGCAAGCAAACAGACAGCATTCATGGGGACCCCGGGCAGGACAAGGGCACAGGGGGCGGCTGCGTGTCACCCCACGGTGACTCCTGCCCCCATGACCGGGCATGGCCAGCTCTGGAGACTGCTGAGCCCTTGGGGAGCAGGCACGGGCTGAGGGGTGAGGCCGGGAAAGGGCTCCAAGGGGGAACAAACCCTTGTGTGTGACCTTGGAGGTGGGCTGAAAGGAAACCCCCCCAGTAAAACGAGGATGAGTGGAGAACAGGAGCCCCCTCCCTGCCAGCTCGCCTGACCCAGCAGGGAGAGGGACAGAGGGACAATTCACTATTGGGTAAAAGAAGTGGGGCTTTACCACCTCAAAGGACCTGCCCAGGTATCTGCTCTGACTGGGGGAACCATGGGCACTAGACTCCACTTCCTCATTGCCTGGTGTGCCCTGAGGGCTATGGGCAGCACACAGGCATGTACCCACAGGAAATTATCCCTGTGTTTTCCATGGTCTCCCTCAGCTCCATCCTCCAAACTTGAACCAAATTCAGCTTTAGGATCGACTTGACCCTGCCACAGAGGGAGGCAGCTCTTCAGTCAGAGAAGTGCCCGGGCAAGGCTGCTTTACAGTGGGGAAGCCTGGCAGTGGGAGGGGAGCTAGGCCGCATCCCTTGCCTGGCATGGTCAGAGCTGATCTCCTGATGTGTGTGCAGGCATGGCCCTGGCTCCTTGGCACCAAGGTAGCAAAGAGGCAGAGGATTTAGGCTCCACAAGTGACTTGGGCACCTTTGGAAATGGGCTCTGTCCAGATATGCTGGTCCCAGGGATGCTGGTGGCCTGGCCAGGACCCATGTAGCTTGAGTGGGATCCGCTAGCTCTAAGATCTGGGGTACGTGCCCTTCTTGGGGGATGCCCCGGCTGGATGGCAGGGGCACAAGAAGAGGGACCATTTCCAAATGTGCCTGAGGCTGGGTTTTTAAAGGCTGGCAGGTGCCCTGCCAGTTGCAACCTCCCGCCAGGCACTGCCTGACCACCTTTAGAAACCAGGTGCCTAAACTCAGTTCTGGAAAGAGCTTTGGAAAATTGGATGCCAGCTCCTCAATCACTAAGGGCCCTTGGGGGGCTTTGCTTCCCAGTGATTCAGGTGCTTGCCAACATTTTCCTTTGGCCTTGCAGTACCTAGATCTGACCATGGGAGAGCCTCTGCTGTGCTTCCCAAGGGGGCCAGTGGCATGTAGCTCTCACCCGTGGGCACAGCAAAGGCTTGCCGTGCCAGGGGGAGGGGCATTGGCAGAGCTCAGTCCCCCCAGCGCAGCCCCACCCCTCTGTGTCTGGGGATCCAGTTGCCCTGGATCCAGCACTGAGATCCCTTGCAGGGTGGTCCTCATAGACATGATGCTCTGCTTCAGTGGCTCTGGGCATCTCCCCTGCCTTCTTCTCTCCCATCCTCTGCTGCCAATATGCCCTGCTAGCAGGCCCCTGACTGGCCTCCCACCTGTGCCCTGGCTCGGCAGCTGTGTTGGGTCATGAACAGCCTCATCCCACTGATGGGGTGGGGGGTCCTTGGATGGGGCATGTGCGACATGCACTGGGACGGCTGAGGAGGGTGAGGCGGGGTGGGGGGAACACAGGCCAGGCCCCTCTCAAGACACGTCTACCTTGTTCCACCAACCCCATGGTGGCACCGGAAGCTGCTGCCGACATGGTGGCGGGCGCGGTGGTCTGTCTGCCCACTGTGAGCACCGGGGGGTGGAGGGAAGCCAACAGAGCGGGACAGCAGACGGGAAGGGGTGGGGTGGGGGCAGGAGACAGTGAAAGACAGAGAGAGGGAGCCAGACGGACAGACAGAGGGGGAGAGAGGAGACAAGGGAAGCAGAAACCAGATTAGCGTTCCAGTCTAGATGCTGGAGATGGGGCCCAGAGGCATGAGGATGTCTAACCCATCCTCCTGCCCTCCTGCCTAGCCCCACTGGCCTGCAGGGGAGCTGGGGGCCCTCCTGACACCAGGCAAGCCCCACAGTGCCCTGGCACCAAACGGGAATGGCCCCATTGTGCTCCTCTTTGGCAGGCCTCAGCCCCTTGGTGCCTGGAAAGCCCGTGCTCCACAGCTAAGGGCTACCTGCACCCAGCCTTGCTCTCTGATGCCTCCCCTCCTGACTGCTGCTCCTGCCCCCCAATATGCAGAGGGGTGGGGGCTGGGAGGAAGAAGCCTTAGGCTGCACGGGGCTGGAGGATCCAGCTCTCAGGAGAGAAGGGGACACAGATCAGGGGTGCCAGGGGCTGGGAAATGAGCTTTCCCAGCCCCCAGCCTGGTGCTCTCCTGGGGGCAACACACTGCTGACCCCCAAACTCAGCTGGAGAATGGCAGCTCAGAGAGAAAGACAGAGGGAAGAAAACCTGCAGCAGTAACTCCCCTGCAACACAAACTCCCCCAGAACCCCCAGGCAGAGCCCCGATACGGCCTCATCTCCAGAGCAGACATCTGGGGCAGCTGCCTAGAGGAGAGATGAGCTTGCATGTTCTCAGTTCTGGGCCCTGCTGGTGCCCACGTCTCCGCCGCCCGTGGGGCTAGGGCCACGGCTGCCGCCTACTCCTTGCTCCCGCGGCCGCACCCACCTCAGAGGGGCCCCGTCTCTGGGCTAGGGTCAGCCATGGTGAGACGCTCACCTGAGAAGTTGCGTGTGGCCAGCATGGTGGTGAGGATGGCGCCCTGGAAGAGAACATGGTGGTGGTGGGTAAGGGCAGGCAGCCACCTACCCCCACCAGATCCCATCACCTTCTTCCCCCACTCCATTTTCTCCTGCCAGGGAGGTCACCAACATGTACACCACACCCAGGCCCCATCACCTTGGGGCTGGCAAACCATGCAGAGCCTCTCTCCCTTCCCAGCTCTTATCTTCCCCCTGGCTCTTAGGCTTTCCCCAGGCTCCATCGGTTCCCAGCTGGGAGTTCACCAGGGCTGAAGACATCAGCACGGTGGGTCTGAGACCCCAGTGAGGCTGGCAGCTGTGGCACAGACATGGACCCTCACACCAGCCTGGGATGACGTGGGCTCCTCTGGTTTAGCTGGAAGTCCCTGGGAGTTTACCCAGAGCCTCTGATGGGGTGAGATCTCTGCCCTGGATCACCACGAGGGTGCAGGGCATGGTGTGGGAAGGAGGGGGGCACTGCCACAAATCTGGCTGAGATTCCCACCCTGGCACCAGGACCCACCTTGAGCTTCCTCCGGGCATTGAACTTCTTCAGACACTCTACAGTCTCCTGCCTGTGCATCATGGAGGCCACGGTCGAGCGTTGCTGGAAAAAGGAAGGACGGGCAGCAAAGTGAGGGGCTGGCTGGCAGGAGGGGGCACAAAGAGCCCCGCTGGGGAGGGAACAGTGTGGAGACCATCCACCTGGCCCCCTTATCCCTGCAGGGCAGCAGGGGGCACAGCCACCTGGGGACAGTGCCAGTCACTGCCAGGTGAGACCCCCTGCATTATGCAAGGCAGTTCTCCAAAGACTGTGCATGGCCTGGCCCCATTGGTGTGGCCTGGGACAGGCCTGGGGGCTGTGGGGAATGCCCAGTCAGCCCCAACTCAGACTGAGGGGAACAGCGAGTGAGCAGGGGGAGAAGGGGGTGGCAGCAATACTCACGCAGACCCATGGGTGCTTCAGAGCTTCATGGGCTGTGATGCGTTTGGCCGGGTTGATGGTGAGCATCTGGTTGATGAGGTTCTTGGCTTCTGGGGTGACCGTGTCCCACTCGGGGGATGGGAACTATGGGAGAGAAATGTGGCGGTGGGGCAGGTGTCGCTGTCAGGGGCAGCAGGAGAGGGGCTGGCTATGTCCAGCAGCCCCCTTACACCCAGGTGCCCCCTACCTTTTTTCATGCCAAGGCCCAGCCTGCTGTGCTGTTTGGGCACAGCAGTGGGCTGTTATTTTGGTGGTGGATTCAGGGAGCAGAGAGGGAGATGAAAGGGATACTTCTGGCTCCCCCCTGAAAAGCAACCCTCAGCATTGTTGCCTGCCCTCCTTGGCCCCTGCATCACTGTGGCACCCCATGCTGGACAGGCTGGATGTGCTGAGAGCTGGCGACAAAGTTGCAGGGGCAGCCGAGGGCTTGGGCCAACTGGGGGCAGTGGAGTGGGGAGCCTCTGTGCTGGATGCTGCTAGCTGGGGATGACTGCATGGCATGGGGGTCCCCTTCCAGAAGCTGCTCTCCACCTCACAGCCAGCCGTAGAGACCGCGGACCCAGGGTCTGCCGTAGGATACCCCTAGGAAGCAGCCGGAAAGGAACTGGGCAGTGGAACCAGGGAAAACCCCGTGGCCCAGCCAGCAGAACCCGGGGGAGAGGCGCCGTGGCAGCACAGGTGAGCAAGAGGGGAAGAAAGCGCCAGCAGGAGAGGGGGAGAGAGGCAGGAGAGAGGGGGCTGGTTTCCCCAAGCGGCTGGGAGTGGAGAGATACCCACTGGCTCCTGAGGGACTCCCATATGCTCCCTCCACGCCGTCGGGGGGTCTCGGCTGTGTCCCCTGAGCCGCTGCCCTGCCTGGGGTCTGCAAGGGAGCCAGGATGCCATGTTACCACCCTTGCCGGCTCCCTGGGCCATGGTGGGACCTGGCACAGCCCCCGCCCTGCTCTGGCTTCCTCTAGGGACCTGGCACCACTTCACACCTGGCTTCCAGTTCCACAGGTACCTGTGCCTTGCCTCCCACCTGCCTCCAAGCACCAGAGTCCTGGGTGCCAGGCATGGCACTGGCAGGCACTGTGGAGGCACCTGGTGGGGGAGTCGCTGTGTGCTGGGGTGGTGCTGGGGGGAGTGTCTGTGCAGCAGTCTTCCAGGCTGCCTATGCCAGGGATACTTGGCATCAACCCCGCTCCCTGAGGGCCCCAGGACAACTTGCCAGCTCTGGACGGAGCAGGAGGAGAATTCAGGGTGGGAGGAGGCTGAATCACACAGGCTCCTTCAGGAAGCCCAGGCTGGATCGCTAGACACAGAGCCGCCAAACCCCTGAATCCTGTGGGACACTCTGAAGTGGCTCTGTCCGAGCAGGCCAGGGAGGCAGCTTTCCCCACTGGCACAGCAGTGAAGGATGCAATGCAGATTGTGCTCCATCATGTGCCAAAAAACAGAATCACGCCTGGGCACCAGAGGAGCTCTGATGGGACAGACTTGCCATGGGCCCACCCCAACTCTCAAGCTGCAAGCCCTGGCACAGTTCACTCTGTGTGACCTAGTCATGCCCCACCTCCCCTCAGGGGGTCTCAAGGTGGGTTCCTAACTGCCACCAGGCCCAACCCACATGGGCACCGAGATCACATTGAGGCTCCAAAGGCTCTAGGTGGGCCTGTGCGTGCTCAGGAGCCCCCCCTTCCACAGGGCAGCTCCCAGGACAGGTGGCTGTGAAATGGGGCGTGAGGCTGGGGCTGGACAGCAGCCACCCCTGGAGATCAGTGTGGGCCCATGGCCCATCACCGCAGCCACCAAAGATTTGGGAGGGACTTCCATGTGGAGGGCAGCTGGGGAGAGCATCCACTAGGGACTCACATCGTAGGCGCCGGCTTTGATCTGCTGGTACAGCTTGTGCTGGTCTTCATCCCAGAAGGGTGGGTAGCCCACCAGCAGAATATACAGGATCACGCCTGGGGAGAGAGCAAGGCACCAGCATCAGGACAGGGCCGTCCAAACTGTGTTATCCCTTCAGCAGGGCTGCCAAAGGCCCCCCTCCCCAAAGCAGCGACCTCTTTCCACCAAAGGCCAGGCCCTGGCTTCAGCCCTGCCCCAAGCAGGCTCCCATCATGGGAAAACCCCAGCTGCAGTGCTGGTGCTCTGTTGCTGGCACTGCCCTGGGAAGCCTTTGTGTACCAGAGTCAGATCCATGTAGTGACCTTCAAGGTACCAAAGGAGAATAGAGGAGTTTGTTCAGCACTGAGGGGATCAAGGTGCCCAGCTCCTGTGGAAAGCCCAGGACAGGCTCCTCAACCTTACTCAGCCCCTGGCATATTGAGGGAGGGTGCCTAAACCCCTTAGCACACCTATTCCTGGGAGCCTGGGACTAAATCCCTGGCTTCCCACACCCAGGCCAGGCCCTGACCAGCAGATGAGCCAGCCCCACATTCACGGCACCCAAACAACCAGGGTCCAGGTTGGTACTTACCACATGCCCAGATGTCCACGGGTTTTCCGTAGGCTTCTTTACGCAGCACTTCAGGGGAGAGGTAGCCAGGGGTGCCTGCGAACCCTGGGGAAAGAGCACAAAGTGTGTTGGCACTGCCAGTCTGGGCACCTGAAGACGGGGGGAGATGAGGGTGTCCATCACTCACCGAACCAGGCCTGCTGATCCCCCTGCACCTCGATGGCCAACCCAAAGTCTGCCAGCTTCACTGCCGCCCCCTTGCACTTGCTGGCCAGAAGCAGGTTCTCCGGCTGCGGGGTGCACCCAGGTGCCAACATCAGGAGGAGAGGGAAGGTGGGTGAGGAGCGGGGGAGAGAAAAGGAAAGGAAGGGACAAACAGAGAGAGACAAGGACATCCGGTTTGCAGCTGAGGGTCAGAGACTGGTGGCCAGCCCGAGCAGGGAGAACAAGGATTTCGGAGCAGGGTGGTAGAGATGTGCGTGTGTGTGTGGCGGGGGGAGGAGTCACCAGCTCCTACCAGCCCTGCAGCTTTGTACCAGCAGCCTGGGCTATACAGATCTCTCCAGGCTGGCCTGGCCCAGCCTCTACCCACTGCCGCCTCTGGGCACATCCCTGCTCTAGCAGAGGCACCGCCTAGGGTTGGGGCACTGACCACCATCACGCTGTGCTTGGGGCCTGCAGCTGGGAGGAGCTAATGCCATGTACGCCTTCCCGAGGTGACCCATACCATAAACCATGTGAGCTAGGAACCCATAGTGCCCTTTGGCCGTAGGCTGCACCAGCCCCATGGCCTCACCACACAGCCACAACACTGCTTTACCCCCATGGGTAAAGGGCAAACATTTCCCAAAAGGGCCAGTGCCAGCCCAGGCTGCAGGGAGCTTGGGCACCAGCCCTCTTGGCTTGGCCATGGTCCTGGCAAAGGGAGCCAGGATCACTGCCTCTCTGCCAGGGTCCAGGCTGTCGGGACATGGTGCGCAAAGGCAGGAAGGTCTCTGAACTTTTCCCTGCCCTTGCCCAGCCAGCCAGGGAGCCAGGATCACTGCCTCTCTGCCAGGGCAGCCACCTCCCTCCAGGTCCAGGCTGTCGGGACATGGTGCGCAAAGGCAGGAAGGTCTCTGAACTTTTCCCTGCCCTTGCCCAGCCAGCCACACAGCCGGACCGGGCCCAGACTTGCACCAGTGCCTCCCACGAGGCTGTGGCTCTGCTAATCCACTCCTCCTGAGATGCTGCCAGAGGCACAGACCCTTGCTGCCTTGACCCGGCTCCTGCCTGCTCTGGGAAGGCTTTTCCAGTTGCTCTGTGGCCTCTGTCTCCCTTGCCCAACACCACAGTGCCCCTGGAGCTGTGTGGGATAGATACAAGCCGCATTGGAGCTGCCCCAGGCAAGGCTGCGGCTCCTGCAGAATACCCCCAGGCCTTCCCCACGGTGCCAAGCTGCTCAGCCTGGCCCCCTCCAGCACAGCCCAACTCCCATGGTTCTGTCCTACACCCAGCCTCACCCACCAAGAAGCATGGGAGCCCCGCTTGGCCACCACCCCCCAGCATTGGGAACAAAAGGCCCAGTCCTTTGATGCTCTGCCGGTCCCAGCATGGCCATGGGCTCTGTGGCCCGGTGACAGCATGCCTTCCCAGGCTGCTAGCTCCCCTGACAGTCCAGCTCTCTGCATGGCAGCACTAGGTCCAAGGACAACGTGGCCCTGACAAGACAACCACAGGACACTTCCCGGCCAATACACGCACCACACACAGACACACATGGAGACTGGGACACTCCCCTGGGCTTGCATCCACAGAGGATGAGCCATCCTACCCCCTCTCAGGCTCATGGAGAGGAGGAAACCAGGACCAGAGAGCCTTGCCGTGCACCACGGAGCACAGAAAACTGGCACAAGGGGCCACCAGACATGGGACATGCACACATGTGGAGACAGACCCTCGATAAGTAGAGCTACCCCCTGCCGCGGCATGGGAAGAGAAGCGATGGTGGGGATGGTTTGGGAGGGTGAGTGGCTCAGGGAAGGGGTGGGAGGAAGCCAGCAGAATGCGTTGGGGGTCTCCTTGTGCCTCAGGTCCTGGCTCAGCTCAGCCCTCATGTCCCTCCAGCCACGCAGTGAAACCCCTTCCCAATCCCATGAGTCCTGGGATGCTCCAGGGTGGCCCCAAGCCTCAGGAGAGCCAGACAGCAATCCCAGGCAGCGACACAAGAGCTGGATCTCAGGGGATGCGGGCTTGGGCAATGAGTCCAGAATGGACTCTGGTTAATGGGCAGCTTCCTTCTCCCTGTTGCACCCTCAGCTCACCCCTGAGGCCATGGGAACACCGTGGGCTGCCAACCACCCACCAATGCCCCCTGCCAAGCCAGTGTGGGGGCCTGGCTCTTGCAAGCTGTGCCAGGAACAGCACCCACGTTGGCGGTGGCACAGCCCCCTCTATGAACATGTGGGCATGGCTACGAGACTCTCTGCCCCTTGTTGGCAGAGAAGGGTTCACCCAGCCACCTCAGACCCCAGCCCAGCTGTGCACAGTGGCCACCTGGCCGGTGTGGTGAGAGTAGCGTCCCCCGTTGCTGTCCGCTCTCTTGGGCCAAACCCAAATGGGTCCCTGGCCTCGCGCCTCTTTCCCATGAGCCCTTGCAACGGCGGGATGGGCAGCTCCACACCCCGGCGCCAGCACCCCCATGCACAGGGAATGCAGACGGACGGACGGACAGACGGACAGAGCAGTGGGACAGGCAACTCACCTTGAGGTCCCTGTGGACGACCCCCATTTGGTGGCAATGGAGAACAGCCTCCAGGATCTGCTGGATGCAATGACTGCATGCAAACACCACGGGGCGTGTTAGTTCACGGGGACTGGCACCGACCACGCGGGGGGTGGGAGCGGGGCAGGAAGGGGGCGATGGGGGGAATGGGGCCAGGAGGAAGAGGAGAGGAGGATGGAGAGGACAGGAGTCACGCTCCCTCTCAACTTGGCCTAGCTGCCCAGGAGCTGGCCCGAGCTACAGCTGGGGGCAGCGAGTGGGGTCACCAATGGGCACTGACCCCATCCAACAGGTCTCCCCAGGCAGCCCTTTACTGGATGCAGTGTCAGGGTCACACCCTGCTAATCCCAACAGCTTTGGCAAGGTGGGGGCTGAGACTTGGCCCTTGAATCCAGCTGTGCCCGTGCTGGGAGGGGCCCAGGCAGCTTGCGGTTCCAGCCTCCCCCTTCTGCCTGGGCCTGCAACCCCTGCACAGATCTCCTTCCCTCCTGCTTGCCCTGAGCCAGCCCCATAGCTTGTTCCATAGCACAGTTCCCAGGTAGGGAAGTGGCCACCGCTCACCCCCATGTCCATACAGCCCCTGGTGTGACAGCTCCCGGGAGCTGCCACACTCTGCGTGGCAGCTCTCTTCCCCCCCAGTGAAGCCTCCCCAACTTCATGGGAGAGATCACAGGCACTGGCTGGCTCTGCTAGGCATGCCCTAGTGGCAGGGGAGCATGGGCTCCCTCCTGGGCAGGGCTAGCATGGCTAACCTCCTCGCAGAGAGAGAATGGGGGCAGTCTGGAGCAGTCACCCCCAGAGTAGCCTGCCTCCTGCTCCATCTCCCTTCAGCTAAAGCCAGGGAAAGATGCCTCTTCAGCTTTGCCAGAATCCTTTACATCCAGTCCTACCTCAGCAACGCATGCAAAGCCCTGAGCTCCCCCGGCCTGGCCTTCTCATCCTTCACCATCTGCACCTACTGGGTAGGGGAAACTCAGACCCCAGATCCTTTCCGCACAGCAAGGCCAAGCCTCCTGCTCTGGGCTCTGCTCCACATTGCCCTCCCCATGGACTCCAGCTGGGATGGGGAACATGGAGGGAGGAAGAACTATGGAGGAACCCTGCATTACTTGCGAGCTAGGCTCCTGTGAAGCAGAAAGTATTCGATCCGGTTTTGGATTCGGCTGATTTGGAGGGACAGTGATTCGATTCAGTAATTTGAATCACTGTCCTGATTCAATTCAGCTGATTCGGCCGCCAAATTGAGATGAATCTCCTCTGAATCGAACAGGCAGCAGCAGCAGTGTCAGCAGTAGGGGTGTGGTGGTGGGCAGTGGGGCCCCACACCCAGGCCACTCCCCCAGCCCCTGTCATGGCTACCCTGCTTGGCCCTGGCACTTAAAAAAAAAAAGCCCCGCACTCACTGGTTGCAGCAGGGGCGGCTGGGGCCTCTGGGGGCTCATGGCAGAGCCCCCCTGCACAGTGCAGGCAAGTGGGGATCAGCCCCCCCCCGCCTGGCACCCATGCGGCAGCTGTTGCATCGCGTGGGTGCAGTGCAGCTCAGCAGGGTGCTGTGGGGCTCTGCACGCTGTCCATGAGCTGGGGCTACTGGGGCTGAGTGGTGCTGGGCTCTGGCTGATACATGGAGCCAAACCAGCTCTGGGACAGCACGTGATGACCTGCTGAGCTGCACTGTACCCGTATGATGTGACAGCTGCTGCATAGGTGCCAGGCTGCGGGGGGCACGATCCCTGCTGCCCCGCACTGCACAGGGGGGCTCTGCCACGAGCGCCCAGAGTACCTGATTGCCACTGCTGC